AGGTGGGGGGGGGGGGGACGTTGTACCATGTGTCCATACGGGATGCTAGCAATAATAAATAATGTAAACGCATTCATTTTGTTATCCACATCACTGTAGTTTAAGTACTTGAATACATATTTTTTGTGTGCAAGCTGTTGTACATATCGATTTGCAATATATGTCACGTGTATCATTTTAATTAGCATATGTCTTGATTGCTAGAATATCGACACACATTGCACGTCACAGACGTTTTATGCATTTTTTAAAGTTATATCAAGCCATTTCTGGTGTGTTTATTTCGCTATATCAGGTGGTCATATCATTATTTTATGTAAAAGTGGAATTTTTCGAGGTATCAAAATCTAGCGATTTTCGCGTTGAGTAAATTATCGTAAAAATATACACACGCAAGTATTTATTTATAAATTTAATACGTTATAAATAGATAGAACATATAGATTTTGGAACTTTTGCCAACGCGAAAATGTCCACACCTTGATCAGTTTTAACTGTCACAACGCGAACATTTCTGCCCACGAAAATTGTCACTTTTGCAGTATGATATGGGAATTTAATCTCTTAATATCAGGTTGAGATTTACATGTACAAGTTGTTCTGTATCTTACTAAAATATAACTTACTTCGATCCAGTATGGTGGCTTATTAGATATGACATTTCGTCTTTTCGCTTCGTCGCCCGCGAAATAACGCCAAGCGATATAACGAAATAACGAAAAGACGAAAACCAGCCAAAGCGAAATAACGAAATAACGCCAAAACGTCAAAGAGCCAAAGCTAAATAACGAAAAGACGAAAACCCCACAAAGCGAAAAGACGAGATGTCATATATAAGCCACCATACTCCAGCGATCGTCCACCAAAGTATCCTAAATTGAAATCCCCATTTTCCCCAAAGTTGAACTGTCCGAGTATGTATCAGTGATAAATAGATATCTATCAAAGAAACGGTTTTCAAGATTTTTCGAGAGTTTTATTTTACGCTCAGCCGTACTATGTGTGGACGAAAAGGTCACATGTATATGATACATTTTACAAACATTCATGGTGAAAATACTACTGTACACATTACAGATGTAGATGCAAACTTATACATCGTACAGTACTGTACATACAACATATTATCGTTGCTGGGTATCAATCTAAAATAACTCATGATATATCTAAACACCAAAACAGAACTACGCATCTCGTCATACAAGGCAGTCATGACGCTTCATAATTATATATAAACACTCCTAAGTCACGTGATCAGAAGTTAAATTGTCATTTTTAGCTATCTATTTATAAACGTGAAGTCAATGGTTAAATTTAAGCACATTCCATGGAATAAAGAAAATTTACTTTAAAAAATTGTGTCAGATAATATTCAGGTGAAAATAATAACATGTCATATACCTAATGATACGTCAGTAAGCAAGGTGAGAGCGTACCTCGAGTTCCAGTTGACCCCTTGCCTACAGGGGTCATGAGAACTACATCCAGAAAGCAAATTTAAGATATTTAGGAGGTCTTAATTCGACACCCGACAATTACTCGAGTTCGAGTTGACCCCTTACCTATAGGGGTCATGAGAATTAGAGATATAATGCTTTTCTGATATCCAGGAAGCAAATTTAAGATATTTAGGAGGTCTTAATTCGACACCCGACAATTACTCATCACCATTATAAGCCGACCACGCTGTCGAAAACGCACGAGAAAGGGGCATTTCATTAAGGTGCTTTTAAACGGGCAATTTTTTTCCATAACCTATAAATGTCTATAATTTCTAATTTTCTAATATTTCCTCGATGTCACACGATCTAAATACACTGTTTCCTGATTATTAGGTCCCTACCGTGTTCCAGTCTCGTTCTCAGTCCTACCTGATACTACACAATATGTATATCTATACAGCAGTGAGTCTCACAGAGTTGAGTTTACGAATTCGAGATTGTTTAGACTTAAAGTCAAAAGAGAACATTCTTTATTCGATGTTGAATTTGCAGATTTATTTTACTGCAATAATCTCTCTAAAAAAACAACAACAACATAGGTATGAGTCTCGGTCAACCAGACGTTTGATCACCTCTGTTCGGCGTAACTTGCGCAGACAATAAGAGCCTGGTTGAACGAGACTGAGGTACATGTACTTGTATAAATATACATGGACAAATGGACACGGATGAGTGATTTGTCTTCATTTTGATATTGTATTGTAGAATGAGACTTCTGTATCAATTTCAAGCAAATTGATCATCACTACATACTTTCAGTTTCTATTAATGGAAATATATCAGTAATGTATGTAATTGTAAGGATATTTAGTCAAAAATAGACAATAGATGCGTGATTTACGCGACACTTCCATGAAATGTATTAGCTTATTATTAACATTATTTCAATTCTGGATGCTGTCTAAAAGACTAACGGACACCATCGCAGATTATCTGTCAGGTATATCACACATAAACAGGTGCTACAAAAATGTTTCGGAACCGAGGTTGGGTTTGGTTTTATAAAGTTTAACGTCCTATAAACAGCTAAGGTTATCTAATAATAGGTAATAGTCAAGATGGAAAAACGCATTCCTGTATTTAGTGGGTGGTAGGGTGGAGTAGTCGAAAGCCGCTCGCCTTTCACCATGGCGGCCGGGGTTCGATTCCCCCATCGGACGTGGAATAGTATGTGATAACCTGTCTGACCACGTGGGTTTTCTCCGGGTATTTCGGTTTCCTCCCACTAAGATGCCCACAACCTGACAACCGGGCCAACAAGAGTGATGAATATAAGTCAGAATAAGCTGTTTCATAATTGTTGTAAAATAAATGAAGTTTATATTATATACTAAGTTATGTATTTTGGCAGTGGTACGGGGATCCTTAAATGTTTTTGATGGTAATGGCAACAACTGGTTCACCCGTTGTCAGTATATTGTGACCGGGCCGAATGCTGTGCTGGGTGCCTTCGGCATTGTGTTTAAGTGAGATAGCACTATAAAGTCGGCATCAGATCCGAGCTATTACAAGGAGGCAAATACAACAACATACCCGGCACACATGCACACTTGCACGCATACACAAGACACATGGAGGCACGGCCTTAAATGACCTTAGTTGTTAAAAGGACGTTAAACAAAATAAAACAAAAACAAACATATCCAAACAGAAGTTAAGGGGAGGTTACTGTGAATAAAACAACGGCAGTGTAGTGGGACAGGGATCTCTACCATGATCAGAGGAATACGGTACCGTTATTAGAGTAAATACTACTCGGTGATTGGGTGAACCACTGTAACGGTTTATGACCAGAGGAAGGCAGGGCCGTTACTAGCGTTCTTATTAGATAGTTCAACATAGAGTAACCATTGTACATTAATATAAGTTGATGACAAGAACAATACAGAAACTATTAATGAGGTCAAAATCCTGTAAGGAATTAAGGCTAATGATCAGAGGAATACGGTACCGTTACTGGCGTTCTCGTTAATCAGGTCAACATACATTAGCCATTGTTAGTTTATTACATTGTACATTGGAGTACTTTAACTGTTAATTAGGTCAAAATCCTGTTATGAATGTAGGTTTATGATCAAAGGAATACGACACCGTTATTTTAGAGTGCAGTGCAGTTGTTAATTAGGTCAAAACTCAGCAACGAATGTTGGTAAAATACGTGTAAAACGGTACGTTAAATAGCGTACTTCATAATACATCAACGAATCTAGGTTAAATACATGCAATACGGTACGTTAAATAGCGTACTTCATAATACATCAACGAATCTAGGTTAAATACATGCAGTACGGTACGTTAAATAGCGTACTTTATAATACATCAACGAATGTAGGTTAAATAGATGTAATACGGTACGTTAAATATCGTACTTCATAATACATCAACGAATCTAGGTTAAATACATGCAGTACGGTACGTTAAATAGCGTACTTTATAATACATCAACGAATGTAGGTTAAATACGTGTGATACGGTCATAAGATATCGTACTTTATGATACATCAACGAATGTAGGTTAAATACATGTAATACGGTACGTTAAATAGCGTACTTCATAATACATCAACGAATGTAGGTTAAATACGTGTAATACGGTACGTTAAATTGCGTATTTCATTATACATCTAGTTGTTATGTACATGTTACCGATGCCGATGCTAGCATTCATTCCGACATTGCTCCATCCAATTTAAAAAAAAAAAAGGGAAAGAAATCTTGAGAAACTAATAATGTAGTGACACCCCCTATTGACTATCACTGTTTAGGTAAGAGCCAGGTAAGATCACTCCGCGATAAGCCCCACACACTGTTTCTTTTATTTAACCAATAAAATTGAAAAGGAGACAGCGATTCAAATAATATAATGAACACAAAAATCTTCTCGTTTTTATTCAAATCCTTTTCTGAAGAAAATATATGAATGCTTTCATCCGTAAACTTAATATTGAGCCATTCGTACACCATAAGACACTTCAGTCTCGCTGTTTAAGTTCCAGCCGTGTTTGAATCGTCTGATGAAATGGCGGTGACCGACTGGTGATATCTCTGAACTCTAGACATTATTTTTCACTTAAACGAGTCTCTTTATCCGACCTTATAACGAAATGAACGAGCATTATTTAAGCACTGAACTGATTTCAGTTGACATTCGATTGAATGCCAACTGGACAAAGGCAATTGTTAGACTCGCCTTTGTCAAGTTGGAATTCCTATTTCCTATATTACAAGTGTTTTAGTGAGGTAGCACCCTGAAGTCGGCGTCAGATCCGCGCTATCGCAAGGAGGCAAATACCCCAACATACCCTGCCACCAGCACACATACACACGCATACATTACACACATTGAGGTACGTCTTTAAATTAATAAAGCTGTTAATAGGACGTTAAGCAAAATAAAAACACAAACCAAACCAAATACCATCATTTTATTGTAATAGAAGGCTACCGTATACGGTATTCACATACGGAGAAACACACACACTTAATTGAATATTATGTCGTGTTGACATGGGGCCATAGTATATGTACTAACCATACATTAACGTGTTACTCAGTACAAATACAAACCTCCCCTCTCTATAAATATCATATCCGTATCACAGATACCACGTATATCTATCTGACACCAATACCAGACCGCTGTGAGGTAAAATATAGCCATTGCTGCAGGCCAATGGAGGATGGCGATCTAACAGACCGAGACTGATTGAAGAAAACGTAAACACCAGCTAAGAACTTTCATACAGTGCTTAAATGATGCTGTTCAGGTAGGTGCGCCTTTTATATTGTCCATTACACTTTGAAATATACTAGGTAGCCGTGTGAAATTAACATGTTACATAAACAATTCACATCTTTCAATGGTAAACATTGCTGCGAATTGTTCTATGTGTGTGGGTGTATGTATGTATATAATGTGTATGCGTATGTGGTATATGTATATAATAAGTATATCTATGTTTGATGTTATTGATTTGGAAGGTATCAACAATATTCTCGTATTGTAGATATAGCCATATTACACCAGAATGTCGCTAAATCGGTCATATAGACCCCCGCTCCATCCCACTGCACCATTTCCCCATTCCCCCACTCCTGGTAAACCGAAATTGCTCTACCCAAACAGGTGCTACAAATACAGGATACAGAAGACATCCAACAACTGATGATTGATTTATATTTATATTGAGTAACATAATATCATTCTCTAGAAATATCCACCAGATTCAATATTTTCCGATAATCCGGTTTTCCATTATCCGACCGGTAACCGTTCCAATTATTAGTTTGGCCCTTCAGTCATGTAATTTGAAGATATTTGTATTTCCATTTTTAATTGTCTACAGGGAATTGTTCTCCCTGTCCATCATCCCCACTTAGCTGGTAGGGCTTGTACCCAGTGTTGATCTCGCCTCTCACATGTTATACCTGTGTTTATTTATTGACTGTTGTTCGCTCTAATGGTGTACAAATAAATTCGCCCCAATTACGGAGTTAAAAAGAAGAAAGGTAACCGCGACGACAATTCCTGGAGCTTATGTATATCCGACCGGATGTCCCTCCTTATACATGATGACAGCCGAGATTTAAAATCTTCTCTGGTAGATGTTTTTCTCCGGATAGGTTTTTTCCGCACGTTTGGTAACTCTCGAAACACTTAAATGTTGTTGTTGTTTTTTGTATTGCCCCACACCATGTTAAGGATACTGCCAGGGTTGGGGCAATATATTCAATATCCTTACAAAAAATGTCCTCGTGCAAGAGGGCTCTCATTCATTCATTCTTTCTTTCATTCAGACGTTTAATCATTTTTTCATTTCTTTTCATTACATTCTTCCTTTTACATTTATTCCGTGTTTACGTTCATTCATACATTTATTATCGCCATTAATTCTTTCTTTGTTTACGCTCATTCACTCCTTTAATCTATTTATTCATACATTTTGAGGTTTTCTCATTCATAATATATACAAACATACTACATTTGAATATAATACTTAGTAACTGTACTGAGGCATGACACAGCTGAGGCAGGAAGGAGGGAACCCCCTGATTGGCCAGCTAGGCACTTAATGTTTGCTTTTCGTTAACTATGCTGAAATGTAATGCTCACAGATTCTTAACTATACGATTAGTTTATACATGTAGTCAGTCTGAATATCCTCTGACTTTTCCGGAACTTCCCCTGTACTTCCGGCGGAGGAGATATTCGTTATATGGTCATGAATATCATGCATACATTTTCGTCTTTTCAACAGCTAAAATTTATTATTTTATCGCTTTGTTGATTGTTTGATTGATTAATTAATCCATCGATTGATTGATTGATTGCACGTAATTGTCATGTCCAAATACTGATACAGTGAATCCTGGGTACCCGTCAATCAAGCCTGCTCATTTGAAGCAGGAATATGCGATCCTCAGGAGATGACGATATCACTTTCAAAATCATTTTGGAAGATTTGTACGAAAGACATCTTGATTAACACAACACATTGAACAGAGAACAAAAGTGAAAGTTAACTAAAATAGCACTTAAATTAATTGCAGCATTATGATAAAAACATAAACAAATCCTGACGCAGAGGGTAAATCAATTCCAATATCTCCTTAACCAACACTGGTGGCAGTTAAATGATCTCACTTCCAGGAAATAACCGTTATATTCGTGAAACATCAGGAAGGTCTAATGGATTAATTCTACCTCAAATTATGGATCAATGTGTGTGAAGATCTGTTAAATTGTTCCTGAATCAAGATTTGTGTTTTTCTATTCCGTCAATATTCATATTTTTAAAGAATTATTGGATTATCGTATTCCCTCTTCAAGTCAGTTTTAAGGCATTCTGTTGGATTATTTTATTCTCAAATAGTTTTCTTTTCAAGAAAATTAAAAAATGATATGGGCAAGCTGATGTGTGTTTCAATGGATTATATTTTATTGTTAAATTTTAATATAATTAAATTAACATTCATATAGTAACGCCCTATGTTGTGAATAAATCGTGGATTTTCTTCTAAAACTTGCTGGTGTTTAAAATTGCTTTTGTTACCTGTAACTGTCCATTATCAGGCCAGCAGCTGTCCATTATCAGGCCAGCAGCTGTCCGTTATCAAACCAACAGCTGTTCATTATCAGGCCAACAACTGTCCATTATCAGGCCAGCAGCTATCCATTATCAGGCCAGCAGCTATCCATTATCAGGCCAGCAGCTATCCATTATCAGGCCAGCAGCTGGCCATTATCAGGCCAGCAGCTGTCCCTTATCAGGCCAGCAGCTGTCCGTTATCAGGCCAACAGCTGTCCATTATCAGGCCAACAGCTGTCCATTATGAGGCCAACAGCTGTCCATTATCAGCCCAGCAGCTGTCCGTTATCAGGCCAGCAGCTGTCCATTATCAGGCCAGCAGCTGTCCGTTATCAGGCCAACAGCTGTTCATTATCAGCCCAGCAGCTGTCCGTTATCAGGCCAACAGCTGTCCATTATCAGGCCAGCAGCTGTCCATTATCAGGCCAGCAGCTGTCCATTATCAAACACAATACTGGACAGCTACAGGTTTATCATTGTACATTCCACTACAAACTTCCAATGAGAGTAAGGATGGAACGTCTGTCAGATTGCAATATAGACGTTCAATCGTTATAGCTACATATCCTCATACGACCTGTATTTTATTAATTAGTCGGATGAGCCTAATTTATATTTTCTGCTCCCGCAAAACCTTACAGGTCAAATTCTTGGAACAGCCGCAGTCGGCCATTATCGGACCGAAAACTTTCCAAACAACGGTCGCCATTTAAAAATGTAACTAGGCGACAACTGTTAAATGAAGTTAAATGTAATTATACACATGTATGTGCAGAGCATTCTTATACAAAGGGTAAGGACGTACCTTCATCTGCTGGATGTCTTCATTGTCTGCAAAACCCGTCAAAATGTGACTTGCAGGAACCAAACGACAACAAGATGGCGGCTATCGGTGTATCGGTGGGAATGGTTGCAATAACTGACGTCATGCAAAGCATGGTCATGTGAGCAGATAATGCAGACTGCAGCTACTGTCAAGTAACTGCAGGCTGACTTTCCATAGAGTAGTTAATTAATATGAGGGAAACATGATAAATGTTTATAACGAGATACTTTCTCTATGGCTAAGTCGTTATAACGAGATACTGTTTCTATGGCTAAGTCGTTATAACGAGATACTGTTTCTATGGCTAAGTCGTTATAACGAGATGCTTTCTCTATGGCTAAGTCGTTATAACGAGATACTGTCTCCATGGCTAAGTCGTTATGACAAGATACTTTCTCTATGGCTAAGTCGTTATAACGAGATACTGTCTCCATGGCTAAGTCGTTATGACAAGATATTGTCTCTATGGCTAAGTCGTTATGACAAGATATTGTCTCTATGGCTAAGTCGTTATAACGAGAATAAATAGTCTGTTGATGTCCTCAATCAGTCGCCGTAGAGATGAAAATTCAGAAGAAAAATCAGAAAGAAAACTTCCTTGTCTCTTTTTGATAATAGTGTTAAAATGACTTCAGAAGAACTTTTCAAAAGTAGCATAAATGCAAGAAATACGTACACTACATCAAAGATATCAATTAGGTGTCCCTGCCTACAATGTAGCTACATATAAAACAAAAATGTGCACTGAACTGTATAGATTAGAATAAACAAAATCAAAATATTCTAGATAATGCAGAAAATTCGAGTTGGCTTCAGTGGATGTATTGCCAACACTACAATGACGCGTGTTAACAGTGACGTCATAGTTGCGTCACAACATGTTGTGAACGTCAATTCGGCTTTTTTTCAATTTTCAAAATACATTTGGCTGGTATATATATACGGACTTATCAGTATCAATTGGAGCTATTTTGAAGCTAATGACAAATAACCAAGCGCAAATACTTTATGGAAACAATTTTCAGTTCGAGAAAAATGCAAATATCAAATGTAGGCTCGAAGGATTTCATCGGTAACATAAATTTGTAAAAAACTTTAGAATTGTAACTGGACATAGAAATCTGCCGGAGGTGCAAACAATGAATGCAGTCACAGAGAAACGCATGTTGCCGTTTTTGCGACCCTGTTCTACCGGAAAGACGGACGTTTTTGAAGCCTTCATCTAGCATAGAATCAATTCACACTAATTTTCCCGTACTTTACGTACACCATGTGTTGCCATAACGGCTCGCACTGCTCGGCCGAGAGTGCCCGCTATAAAGTTCTACGATGCGAAACCGTTATGTACGAAGAAGGAAATGTTTTAATGTTTTGAAGTACAAACAAGTACTTATTGTGAATAAGTCAAACTATAAAGTCCTGATGTGGGGTTTTTCTGTTTAGCGTTGTGTGTAAAACGATTTTTTTGAAAATTTCAGATGTTAATTAACATATGTAGGTATTTTATGAAGACATTTATAACATGAGTAAGAAAAATTCCGGAAAAAGATTATAAATGGCGTTTGCTCCGGCCTAAGATTTTAATTCCGAGTAAATTCTCGGTAACATACTTTGTTTGTGCGTTCATGTTTACCGTAAGCTTCAAGGTAATAAAGAACTGAGTACAGCGAGGTGACCTAGATGATGCAATTATTTAAATTAGGCTGTTATTTAGCGCGTGCAGACATTTGTCACGCTACGTCTGTCTCTTGTCCATTTCACCTACAAGCCGCGCACATCCTGTACTTTTTGTTTATATTTAGCGAAAATGTTACCTATTTTTTTGTTAAATGGGAATCTTATGTCAGAGTGT